GCCTCCTTTGTCAAATATTAATGGAGCATGATGGCTTGGGTCAATAACTGGGTTCCCTTTTCTTTTCCATTGATGTATATGCCTGTTCTTGTGTGAGCACCAGGCTGTTTTGAGCACAGTGGCTTTGTAGTATAATCTGATATCTGGTATTGTGATTCCTCCAACTTTGTTTTTCTTTCCTGCAACAGCTATTTGGAGTCTTTTTTATTTCCATATAAATTTTTGGCGTATTTGTTCTAGATCTGTGAAATATGCTATTGGTAGTTTAATAAGGATTGCATTGAATCTATAGATTGCCTTGGATAGTATGGGCATTTTAATGGTGTTGATTCTACCAATCCATGAACATGGTATATTGTTCCTCTTATTTACCACTTTTTTCAACATCCTGTAGTTTTCTGAGTACAGGTCTTTTGCCTGCTTGGTTAAGTTTATTCCTAAGTATCTTAATTTTGTTGTTGTTGTGGCGTTAAATGGTATTGTTCGTTTACTTTCTCTTTGGGAGGATTCATTATTGGTGTATTAAAAAGCCATCGATTTTTGGGCATTGAGTTTGTATCCTGCTACATTGCGAAATTCATTTATTAAATCTAGTAGTTTATGTGATGTATCATGTTTATTGATTTGAGAATATTGTACCAGCCTTGCATACCTGTAATAAATCCCACTTGGTCATGGTATATGATCTTTTTAATATATTGCTGGATCTGATTTCCTAATATTTTATTGAGGATTTTAGTATCTATGTTCATCAGGGATATTGGCCTGTAATTCTTTTCTTTGTAGTGTCTTTATTTGGTTTTGGATAAAGACTTTATTACGATAATACTGGCCTCATAAAAAAGAGCTTGGAAGTGTTCCTTCCTCTTGAATTTTTTGGAATAGTGTGAGGAATATAGGTGTTGGTTCTTCTTTGAGTGTTTAGTAAAACTCCCCTCTGCAGCCATCTGGATCAGGGCTTTTGTTTGCTGGGAGCTTTTTGATTACTGCTTCTATTTCATCATTGTTATTGGCCTATTCAGGTTTTCTGATTCTTTGATTCCGTTTTGGGAGATTGTATTTTTCTAGGAATTTGTCCATTTCATCCACCTTGTCTAGCTTGTTGACATATAGTTGTTCATAGTATTTTCTCACAATCCTCTGTACTAATGT